TGTTATTTCATTAAAAAAGTTATATTTTTCAAAGTCCCGAACTTTGTCTATGGAGGTACGCAGGGCTGTGGTGGGGACATCTATCAACCAAACGCGTCCCCGTACACACAACACTGTACGCAGAGCTAGGAGGGGGCCCATCTTTGCCGAAACAAATTACCGGTTATGTACAGGAAACACGCATCCTGAAACTAAGTGAAGGAAACCTTAAAAACCGGAAATGTTTGACGCTCTGCCCACTATGGACAACACTCAATTGAAAAGTGATGAAAATCCACCCTATTAAAAAATGTTGCTACCAAAATCCTACCAGTGAGACTCTTATTCACTCTCAAATGTTCATAGTTACAAAACTTCTTAAATTTACTGATAAAAAGAAAAGTTTTTTTTTTAATTCCTGTAAAGTCCTGATTTGCGAAATTGCATGCCGTAAACTGATATAATGTGCAATCTCATCTGTTTAGTTTGAAACTGCTCATTGATTCACTGACATTTAGCACTCTTTGATCCCTGTATATAAACACCCACTTGCCAAAGTCAGCCAGAGAGCTGTTTTATATTATGCAAATTAGACTTCACACTGTGACAGAGTACATGTAAATGTAATATCACTATTATCAGTTTTGAGTGGTCTTTTTGGCGCTTGGCATTCATGCACACTTCTTTAGCCTGTGCGCGTCTTAAAAACAGACGAGATTTAATTTGTACTTAGCCTGTGCTAAGAGTTCACACAGGTTTTCTTTGAACAGACTAATATGGATAAAGGGATTTAACACATGTACTTTGCATTTCAGTTTTGTTGTCAGTACAAAGATTGATGCATTCTACACAGGAGGCAAAGTTCTCCTCTCTCAAGATGGACTTCACATGTTCTGTCAGTGTAATGAAAAAATAAAAATTTTAGAAGTGGAAACTGGAAAAGTTGTACACACAGTTATCCAGGTAATTTTTTTTTCTTTAATAAGGATATTTTCTTGAGTTGTTGATCTGATGATGTAACAAAAGAAACCAGGCACCCATGCACAATTACAGAAATCAAGTATGTGAACAATTTTACAAGCTTTACTGCTGTTTTTTTTTTTGCATTCAGAAGTAGAGCTTTAGCATATTTATTAACAAGAATCTGCTTGTCAGTATCAGCAAGCATCCACCCAGTAATGAACACTATAGATTTACATGTGTTTATAAGAGAGAATTTGTAAGAAATCTAAAATACACTAAGAGTTAAAAAATGGACTGATGCTGGTATACAGTAACAGTCTTGGTGTGACTTATCTTTCAGGCTTGCTATCAGCTGGCTTTGCTTTTTTCATTTTATAAAACAATTGTTTTTAAGCGCGTATTATTTTCATCAATAATTTCAACTTGTATACCAATGTTAGTAATATAAGACATATTCAGGCTGTTTACTTTTCAGTAAATATTTCTGCTTTAATAAACAAGCTATAATGTATTTTATATAAGCACAGACCAAACTGTAGCTCTTGATGTAGTTTTGAGGGGTGGTGACTAATCACTCATTGAGTGACTTAATCTTGAAACATTGTTACAATTCGTTTGAACGACTGAATCCCAATGTCCTCTTTTCATGTGATGTAATCTTTCATGGTTACGTCAGTTTCATAGTAAATCAATACTGTATTACTTCTTTTAGTAGAGCATTTGCACTCAAGCAAATGACAGAGGTGTGTCTATTGTCTGTGAGTCATATTTCACTAGTAATGTATTGTAGATTAAATGCAATTTTTCGGTTAATGCAGGGATCTCACCAGCCCAATGGGAGTGTCGGTTGCTCATGGATATTAATGAGCTATATAAATATCAATGAGCTCGGTCACAGTTGGAGTCAAAATG